CAGGAAAATCAGGGTATATATATATATAAATTTATACAGTACCAATTTAACTCAATATTCTAAGTTGTTATGATTTTAGTACCAATTTAACTCAATATTCTAAGTTACTATGATTTTAGTTACTTGAAAAATTAGTCATCAAATTAATTTTTAGTTGAACCAACCAATTCAGTCCGATTTACAAAATGGTGCCCTTTTTGAAAAAGTAAAGTCATTTTAACAAATCATTATTGAAAAAGTTAAATAAGTTAAAATTTTCCATCTTATCTCTGTTAAAAATCATTAAAATTCATATATTTGAAATTAATAAAAATAATCAAAGCATATATTTGAAAAATAATTTATTAATTTTTCTCTAAATTATAAAAGAAAAAACAACACATTTAATTTTAAAATTCGCTCTTACCAAAATCTACAAGTGCTCCAATAGTGGGACGATGTCCTAGTTGCTCCAATATGCACGATGAAAATAGACATCGACAAAGACACTTTAAGGTTCAAATTAGAAGGAAGTTTAGATTAAGAATTAGAGTGATACCTAGTGCTTGACATATAGTGAGTGATCTTATCTCTAAGTTTAGAATTATGTTGTATAATATTTTAGAGATATATTTTAATGATTATGTGAAGATGTTGTTATTGATTTGTAGAGATATTATTCCTGATTAGAAAAGATATTTTGTTAGATGAATATATTGTGTTTCATTATAAATTAGGTTTTAAGCAAGAGTATATGACTTAACCTTTTTTAAAATCTAGCCTAATCTAACATGTTTAATAAAAAAAATCAAATTTAGACTTTTAAGAAAACCTATTTATAAATTAGTTTTATGTTTATAAAAAAATGGTTACGTCTAATAGGTCAGCTTAATTATTTATATAATATAATAAAAATTAATATTCATATATTATTAAAAATATAAATAAACAATTAAATTTATAAAACAAAAAATTATTAATATTATTTTTTTATACAATTATCTTTCTTTATTATAGGTCTATAAGCTTATGAAATGTGCATGAGTATACATTAACATATATGACTAAGTATGAATTATCTCTCCAGTAGAAAATGATTCACTTTTACTCCTATATTTTTTTAAAAATTTAAGTTTTAATAATATTGAGTAAATTATATTTTAAAAATAAATTTATTTATATAATATAATAAAAGTTAATATACATATATTATTAAAATTAGAAATAAACAAATAAATTTATAAAATTAAAACAAATTATTAATATTTAAAATATTTTTTACACTTTTTTTAAGTATAGGTTTATAAGCTTATGACATGTACGTGAGCATACATCAACATATATGATTACACATGAATTGTCTCTTCAACAAAAATGATTCACTTTTCTCCTATATTTCTTTTAAATTTTAATAATATTGAGTAAAATATATTTTTTAAAAATTGTTGGTTTTTAAAAATTAAGTTTATTGATTTAATTAGCATTTATAAATAAACTTTTAAATAAACCAATAGATCAAGTAAGATTTTAAAAAAGTCATGTCAAACTTAAAAGAAGTCTATGATAGATAATAGGTCAAGTTTGATCTTTAATTTTATAGAATAGACCTAATCTATATTCAAAATTTAGTCTAATCTATCCTATTCACATTTCTAATTACAATATTCTATAAGATATTAATTCCAAACATTAGGAATTAACTATATAGAGTTTTAGTTTATAGCAATGGGTCGAAGTCTTGATGTGCGCAAGTAGCAAAAGGTCAACTCAACCTTATTGAGTTGGACATTACAAAATTAATAAAAAAATATCAAAATTAATAGAAATAATTAAAGAAAATTATTATAATGTTAACAAAATTATAAATAATATTTGAACATGAGAAAAAAAAATAAATATAAATATAATATTGATATTTATTTATTTAACTAATTTGTGTTTAAATTAATTTCTTATTTTATCAATATATTTATTTAATAGGAAAATAATAAATATATGGGATCTCCAAAATTTTAATTATTAAGATGATATTATATATCGCATATATATGATTTTCCTTATTTAAAAGCCATTTAGAATTATAAATATGCATTTGAAAGTATCAACCGAATGACAATAAACAAGTTTTTATTCTAAATTCGACAAGAACTACTCCAAAACAAAGTTTAGAGATGATTGCAGTCAAGATAGTTTTTGAAGTTGTATTTCTTACTTTTATGGTTTGCAAGGGTATTTTCCTTCAACATATTCACTTTTGAATGATTTATTTATTTATAATGATTATATTATTATTATGAAATATTTATCAATCTAATTTATCAACAATTAATCTTTATTGAAAATTTTGATTAATTATCTTTAATATAATAGTTTTTTTCATTTAATCATATTTTTTTCATTTATAAGATTGAAACATGAAGTTTTATTTTAAAAAAGTAATTCAAATTTCTCTCGAATCAATGACTTATTAATTAATTAATTAATTATATATATATATATATATATTGAGGAGGTTATAATAACATCGGTATAACTTTTATTAAGTATTACACCGCTCAATAACTTTATATTAAATACGAATTTCGTAAATTCAACCGTTAAATTGATAGTTCATATCTCTTAGATCATATATACAAAATTTTATATCAATCCAAGATGATTTGATACTTCATTTTTATAAAAACAAAATTGACATAATATATTCATTTCAAAATACACTAAAATATGAATACTTTGATTACCTTCAAATTATTGTTCAATTTTAACAAAATTTGATATACACCTATAAAATGATATGAACTTTCAATCTAACGATTGAATTTACAAAATTCACATTTAATATAAAGTTATTAAGTAATGTAACACTTGATAAAAGTTATACCGGTGTAATTATAACCTCCCTCATATATATTTCTATAATACTATGTTGTATGATTTTTTTTTTTCCGGGACTTGATTTTCAGAATATACAAGAAGGCCAAACCTTAAAACATGTGATGAACATGATGATTGTGATATAATATCGTCTGGTTGTGATAAAATATCAATTTGTTATCTGGGTGGTTATAATCAACCAAGTGTGGACCCATTGTTTTTAACCAACTAGCCCCCAAAATTAAATTGGCCCTTGAAATTGGAAATAGAAATCCTGGTAGATGGAATATGTTCCCTTGAGCTTGACTAGTCAGCCTCCATATAATTTCCATTACCCACCATGTAGGAGCAGACTCTTCGGGTAGCTTCAAAAATCTAAGAAGTCTTGGTTGTAAAAATTTATCAGAGCTTCCTCCATCAACTAGGACAATAACAGGAGGACAATAACAGGTAGCTTATCCACATATGCCAAGAACCTTATTATACCAACACCTTTGACACCCTTTATTGCATTGAGTGATAAGTAATGATCATCACTTATAGGATCCAAGTACACTACATTACAACCTGATCTTTTTCAAATTCTAACTCAATTTGAGGGCCTTCCTGTTCTTCCTCATCCAATTGCAAAAATAAATATTGACGTTAGGACATTTATGATTAAAAGTAAACTTCTCATCATGGAAATAACACAATCCCTTCTCTCTTCGAATTTACATTTCAACGGGGCTAATTTAACACTGGCAGCCTTTAAATGTGGTCCATTAGGCGTAGGAAGCAAAGGAGATAATGTAAGTTTACTCACAAGTTTAATTGGAATTTGAGGAGAAACATAAGATGAAGAAGTCACAGAGGAATATTGACGAACAGGAGCGGTTTGCATTTTGGGAATTGCTACGGTACCCTCAAAGATAGAAGGGTTTCAATACATTTTTTTATGTAAACTTATAAAAAATTTAAAAAAATTAATTTAATTATAAAATAAATAATTCAAATTATACTTATAAAATAAAAAATAAGATAAAATTATAGAGATTAAAATTATAAGATTTTAATAATATTATAAAATATTAAAAAAAGAAAAAAA